TTGGGGTTCCTTATTATAATGATAGTATAGTGGGCCCCATAACGAGGCCCCTATATTGCTCGTGGAGGCTTTTGGGGTTCTTCGATAGAAGTATACTTGCAAAGCCCTATTCCAATGAAGGCACCTGCATTCTGGGGCCTGACGTTTCCAGGGTTTGTAGGCCTTGTGAGTGGTCGTAGGAGTTCTTCTTTCTAGGGGCATACGTGAAGCATGAGAAGGCACTAAGGACTTTCTATGGCATTCCGAAGGACAGGAAGTCTCTTAGACGTGCCACTCCCGCACCTTAGCACTGGTAATCATAGGGAAATAAGAACTTCTAGTCATAGCAGAACGACCTGTGCTACTAGTAGCGAGAGGAACAGTGCTTGTAATGATAGTAACAATAGTATCCCCGTTTGCCATTCTTGGGTCTTCTCCGAAGCTTTGTAGCAACCAGCCCTGGGCCCTAAACTCATATGCACTTTCCTGGACATTAAGCCTCCAAGTGGGTAGTTCAGGGTCCCTTTAGGGTCCTTTTCTGCCGTAGTTCGTGGTTTTCTGTTTTCATACGGTTGCCGCTCTCTTTTTGGTTCCCAATCAGCTACTCGACTTCTAAACCTTAAACCCCTTGAACGCACGCAGCCCAATTTCCCGAACTCCAAGAGTCCCAGCCGAGGCTTAAACAAGAGGGCCTCATGGGATTTCCTGTTGGGAGCTTCCCCGTTTGCCTACGAAGAGATCGCAAGCAGCTTGTGCTTGACAGATTTGTTGGGAGGAAATGGCGTAGCCGCAGTGGCAGTACACTTTCTGGGCATGGATGCCGTGTTGTCACTTTGGAGACTGAGGAGCAGAGCCTGCAAGAAGTGCACCTGGTATGTCGCTAGATCATTCAGACTATGGGGATGTATGAATTCACATGAGAGTTGGAACTTCCTTCTTCGCCAAAAGATCGGCGGAGGCCGGATTCCTGTAACCGAGGCAACTCGAGACAACAGGAGTACATGAAAAACATGCCGCTGAGCCAGGTTATGATTCTGTTGCGTGAGGGTGGTGGAGATGCATTCTGGGGTTAAGGACAGGTGACAAGGGTAGTTTCAAAAGATCGAAGGTTCGAAACCACAATGCAGGCACGAATGCGAACGCTATCCCAGCTTGCTTTGAAGGAGGCTGAATCCGAAGCCATCTAACCAGCGCCAGAGAAGCTTGAGCCTGCAGGGCCTTAAGCCCTAAAACTGTCAGGCCTTCCACAGCTTGCACCTTGACTCTCCTGAAGTGTTCTAGAAGCCGAAATGATTACCAATACCATTCCTCACGGCTCCTGATTACAATAGTAAGGAACCCATTATTATAGTTGTACTTTCAAGGAGCAACAACCCCCAGTCTAACTATTGAGGCCCCTGCGTTCGGGTATTTTTGCCTCCTGCAGCCTTCTCCCCAAACCGAGCCCACAGCCCCGAAACCCAGCACTTGAAGCCGCCTGCCGCAGACCTGAAGACCTGAACCAAAATCTTGTTAAGGAATCTACTTTAGGGTTTAGGGTTTAGGGTTTAATAAAGTTACTACATTAGGGATCTATAGCAAAGCATAGCTTCTAGCAATTCTAGAGCCAACCACTCAAGCCTCCAAGCCCTGTCAAAAAAAAACAAAGCCCTTGACCCAAAAATCCATAAACCCCGAACCCAAGCCCTTAAACCCAAAAATAATCCTGGAGAGCAGACCTACAAAACCCTATGACTGAAGTTCGACGGCCCCCAAACCCCAAGACCTGAAGACACTGCATTGTGGATGGATGGCAGTCCCTAGTATTGGTTAAGAATCACTAGCATATAACTCTTGTTATAGCCCCTGCAAGCCGTATAAGCCCCTCAAATCCTAAACCCTATAAGCCCTTAACCCCTAAACCCTAAAGCCCTATAAACCCCGAAAATCCCTATAAAGCCCGAAAACCCCTAAAACCCTTAAATCCCCAAAACCCTATACCCTAAGACCACAGGTTGTGGGTAGATGACCTGGAAACTCCAGAGAACCAGAGCTCTCAGACGGCCTCGGTGGAGAATCCTGACGGCACTTACCTTCAGGGGCTTCGGGTTTAGACTTCAGGGTTAGAATAGGGTTTTGGTGTATATTTTACTATACTTTACAATAGGGTTTAGGGTTTAGACTTTAGGGTTTAGGCTTTAGGCTTTAGTCTTCGTTTAGGGCCAGAGACTCTGAGATTCCTTGAAAAGCCCCTAATCGAGGGGCCTTAATGATTAGAGCAGGGTTTTGGTGGGTTCCTTTAAAGGGTTCCTTAAAAGGGTTCTGTAAGGGCTGCTATAAGGGCTTCGGGTTTCGGGGCCTGAATAATTGGAAAAGGGTTTTGGTGTAAATTATACTATAATTACAACAGGGAACCCCCCAAAAAATAGTATAAGTAATTATTGGGGCCCCTACAGTAGAGGGTTCCCTGTAAAGGGTACTATTCTATAATAGGGCTCCCTTAAAAGGGTACTATAGGGCTTCCATGTTGGGGTTCCCTCTTTAGGTTTTGGAGCTTTTGTGTTTTCCTCTATGGGCATACCTGTAGCCGGAAAGACCTACCTTTTTAGGGTCCCTTATTATGGTTTCTATATATATATATATATAGTTCCTTAAAAAGGTAGGTCTTTTCGGTTACAGGTAGGGTCTAGAGTGTTCAACATGAGACTTCAGGGCTTGCATGGGATTTCATGGGATTTACAGAGTTTGTACCGGGTTTAGGATGTTGTTAGGGCTAGCTTACATGTATCTTCACACACAGATGAATGTATGTCTACAGTTGCACATGTTGTTTATCCAAAGGCAGCTTTAAGACAGGATTCATGCGTAACGCCCTTTATCCTGCCGCAGGTATCCACCAGCTTTCGTCACCTACCTAGCGCGACTGCTGCTCGCACGCGACGAACGCTGTGCCGGCTGGTGGGCAGGGGCGAAGAGTGACGCTTGGAGAAAGAAGTCCCTCTCTCAATCCGGTGTGATTCAGCAGTTGGAAAGTTGTCAGGTAGAATTAATATGGCCTGTGCCTGTTGTGCATGGCTCTACATCCTTATGCCTAGACAGAAGCCCAACTGCACTTCAAGCCATGGCTGCATACTTCCAGGGTTGACAGTTTTGTTTCATTGCAAGCTTGCTCCGGGCAAGCTTTGTCGATTCGATTCGTTGTCGGCTGTGGGCACGTCCGCGTTTCAGTCCCGACCAGCGATGGCGCAATATGCAGGCATTTTTCTGAGATGTTTTTTGGTCGATGTTTTTCTTTGTTGGTGATGTGCTCACCGCCGTGACCAGGATCGGGGGCATCCTAGAACACACACAAGCGAGGGGACCCAATACCCTAAACCGCCATCCTAATATTTGCAGCTCTCTCTAGACCCACAAGCCTTGCCAAGGCTGGTGTGGAAAGCCCGCAGGAGGTGTTTGCACAATTTGAGGCGCAACAGTGGGTTTAGGATTTACCGAATGCTCGGCGATAAGCTCGTATGCCCTGAGAAATTCGAAAGTAGACCGATCCCGCCTGAGATGGGACTTGCACCCTCTGACCGTGACCCTACTCGAAAGGGCCATTGCCGGAAGGGATGAGCATCTGGAGGAATCGTTGAATGGTTTCCTGCAAACTAGACTTTTTGACCATACCTCTAATCTGACACACTACCCGGTGAGAACCTGATTAAGGAAAAACACTATACACCCTAAACCCCTAAACCTAAACCATAAACCCTAAGCGCCCCAAACCCATTAATCCAAAACGTTAAAGGCAGGCAGCGCCCCTCCCAAGCTGCGAATGGGCGCAACACCAGCGAAGCCGAAGTCCTTTTCTGGTTGAGATCACGACATTACGAACGGTAGCAGCGTGAATGAACCCAACGCGGTGGCTACACATACGCATCATACTAACACTACCACTTCCACTGTTTTAGATATAGTCTAGTCTAATCTGGTCTAGCCGGATAGAGTATGATTTACGATCTCATTATAATGTAGGCCGTTAATCCGGTCCTTAGCAGGCTTCGGTCGCGAAAACGCTCTCAGAGAGCTGGCGCGGAAAAGCCGGGGCACTCGCTGCCACACGGCATGCGCAGCAGAGCTTCTCTCTTTGTTTGTTGGCCTTTAGGGGTTAGGGTTCAAGGATTTAATTTTGTGTTTGGTCTAAGCCTTGGGCCATTTCTTGCGCACTTCGTTGGATCAAGTTGAGGATTTGTTTGGCACGACTCGGCTGTCAAGTGCAGAGTGCAGATGACAAAGCACGCACTGAGCTTCAACAATCCCCGTGTAATTGCCTCCATGCTTCAGTATCCTGTAAACCAGCCATGCCCTGACTCTAACTCCAAAAGCCTCAATCGGCACCAAGCTTACCCCAGGCAGCTCTGATCAAGCGGTTCGGAGGACGATTTCCCTTCGATGCAGAGCCGCAAATTAGGCGCCGGAATGAAGGGACAGATTTGCTGGCTATCGCCGCGATTATCCCACGAAGTGACCTCCTCCCAGAACTCGGTAGTAAGGCCGCAAGCAGCAAGCAATCCCAAATATGTATTTCCTGTACAAGCTTCTATCATCTCCTTGTGAGGAGCACTTGCAAAAGCGACTCCAGCAATCCCTTGTCATGGGAGCCTAGAGTTGCAAACCGACAGCAATACTTGGAGGATCATGGGAGTTAGTAAGTAAGGTTATAAGTCCCCTAATTGGGGTTATAAGTATAGTTATAACCCTACTTACTAAGTCCCATGATCCTTCAAGTATCCTTCATCGTGATGGATAAAAGCAAAAACTGGCGGCAGCAGCAGCAGTGCCACCACCACCACGGCTACTGCTGCTGCTGTACTACTACGACCCCGACTACTTCTGCGGCGACCGCATGAGCCCCAAGCATCACGGTGTCACAACGACCCCAACACCCCTCATACCCCAACACTTGTAAACATCTGAAAAACCTCCTAGAGCCTTATTATCAGCCCAAGACTCTGCACCCTGGACTTTCTTGAATCCGAAGAAGGCCTGTGCACTCAACTCACCATTGCATAAACCCTTAAACCCCGAAAGCTCGAGATGATATGCTTTGAGAGGCTCTGCTTCGGCCTCCTCCCCGAGGCTTCCGGCAGCAGATCGTTATGTCAGTAATTAGTTCTCAACATGAGGCCCAAAACAGCGCGGCACCCGTATAAAAAAGGACCCTAAAAGGGACCCTGACTTCCGAGCTGCTCATGTGCTTTGCTAGGTTGCTTTCTATGTTTTGGTCGCTCCGTGCTTGCCTGTTCGTTCGAACTTCTTTCTGTGGTGTAGAAGTCATGGTATTAGGGTTTAAGGCGGGGTTATGTTGGGGTGAAGGGTTTACGCCGACAGGGCTTGACTTGGGTTCCAGTGTTTGTAGGCTAGAAGTGTGAGCTGCTGACATCAAAGAAGCTTGAGTATTTTGCTAGCGCATGCTTCGTTTGGATATTTCGATAGGATCCTTGGAATGGCACGCGAACAAAGCACGAACTCGCCTAATTGTGGACGTTCGCAGCCTCTTACGCACTCGCGAAGCCCGTGCAGAAACCCTGCATCCTGCCACAACCTTGCGAGATGGAGAGCGAAGGAAGCGAATTCTGGTGAGGTTGGGGCAACAGTGTTCAGGTGAACAAACGAGAGGAGAAATCCGCAGCAGCAAATAAAAGTCTAGCCAGTTACAGCTTAGATCTTTACGACTTGGTCTAGGAAGGCTGGATTAGCACCTGCAAGCGTATCGCCGTGACTATGCTTCTTGGCCAAGTGCGGCAGGATGTTCTCCGGGGGTCCTTCTTCGATCAAAATTTTAGCACTGACCGCGACGAGGTGTGGCTTGGTGGCAAATTCGCCGACTTCTAACCCCAGACTCTTGCTGAGAGGCTTACGTAGAAGTGGAGTTCTGAACAAGAGAGCTCGAATTGGGAGTTTCAGAAGATTAGGGTACCTTATTTTGGGGTCCTTATAATAGGGATCCTATTATTTAGGGTACTATATTAGGGTCCCCTATTTTCGGAAACCCCCAATTGAAGTATTGGCGAGCCTTGGAGTGCAGCATTTCAGGTCCGTCAGGTCACATCCCACGATCAGTTCCAGTACCTATACAAGCGCCAGCAGAGCCAAACCTGTATTCGTGTTTGCGAAGCATGCCCCCCTAAACCCTAAACCCCTAAACTCTAATTTAAATCCTAAACCCTAAACCCCTAACCCCTAAATCCTAAACCCTAAACCCGAAACCCCTGAACCCGTTGAGGATGGAGGTTTTTCTCGCCATCGATAAAGATGGCAATGGCATGTTAACGAGGTGCAGGGGAGCTCAGTCTTGCGGGGAGTACTACATCTACAAGAACAAGCAAGGGAGAATGACACACACACACACAAGTACATGCATGTGTGTGTATGTGTATATATATATATATTATCTATATGCATGTTATGTATACACATACATACGTATATAAACACGCATTACAATCAACATGTACTTAGAAGACAGCTTAGGTGTATGTATATAGTGTTGAAAGATCCAAGGCACAGGCCCCCTGCGCAATATGTTGAGCCATGATTCCTAGCACATGCCCGTGATTTGAAGCGGTCTTGAAATTTGGGGATTGTCTATTCGAGAAGGGTACCGGCATGTAAGACGGCTGCCAAGAGTCTCAACCAACTGTGTTCGGATATCAGAAGCAGTCTGAAGCATTGAGACTGCTGTAGAGTTCGTGAGGCTAAGTCTCTGGAGAATCAGGACTCATGACTCATTACCTGTGCCTTCCTTTGTGCTGTGGGGTGGCGGTCAGGGCTTCGTACCGGGAGGCAGGAAGGAGAAGAGGATGTTCTTCGGGGAAACCAGGGAGACAACGAGACTCCTTCAACTTGCTTGCTACCTTGTGGAGGGTGAAGTAGAAGACGGCGCAGAAATCTCGCGATTCGGCTTTCATGCCCTTTGGAGGGTCTGCATGTGACATGCATGATCGTGTTACCGTGGTGCACCCATCCTTATAAAGTCTGCCATCATGAGGGTATTCTAAACGAGCTGCTATAAGTTGCAGGCTGAGCTTCAGATTCTTACTCCTTTCTCCCTCTCTCTCTCTCTCTCTCTATCCCTCGATCTATCTATCGATCTATGTATATCTATCTGACTAATATCTGTCTACCTACCTATCTGTTCATGTACATAGCTGTGTATCTTCACGTATGTGTACATGTCTGTATAGGGGCTCCAGGTTTAGTGCTCTCAGGGTTTCAGGCTTAAGGTTTCTTCGGCTCCTTCGCTGGGTTTAGTCGGTTTGGGCCCATGTGGGAGTTTCCGAAAATAGGGGACCCGAATATAGTACCCTAAATAATAGGATCCTTATTATAATGACCCCAAAATAAGGTACCCCGTCCTAAACCCTAAACCCTAAACCCTAAAACCCTAAACCCCTAAAATCCTAAACCCAAAATAAGGTACCCCGTATTTTCGGAAACTCCCATGTCGCCAGGGCGGAGATACAGGAAGCATTTCAGCGGCGGCCTTACAGTCGTTTTCTTGATGCAGCCGGGCATTGGTTTAGGGTTTAGGGTTTAGGGTTTAGGGTTTAGGGTTTAGTGGGCAAAGATACTCCTTGAGCCCCGTAGTGATGTAGTGAAGATGATTGCTTAGCGTGTAGCAGCGTAGCAGCGTGACAGCTGAGAGTTCAGGAGGCAAGCTCAGCGCAAGCCCACGCAGACCCCCAATTTGCTTAAGCCTTCAACCCGAGCAGGCCCAAACCCAAAGGCCATTGAAAGCCCCAGCGGCCCCACAAGCCCTAAGCCCCCGAAAAAAAAACATAAAAAACCAGAAGCACTCACAGAACCCCCCCAGCCTGCCTCTGAGGTCCATAGGGGACGGGTGGCTGTCAAAGCCCGAAGTTGAGCAAATGTTGAAAGATGCCCTTGCCGACAGCAATGGTGAGGCAAGGTTTCTGTTGTGCGCCCATAAGACTTTGGGGTCCAGGATCGTATTTTCGGAGGTATGAAAACAAGAGAAAGGAAAGCAATCATCACGTGGATACGCGCTATGCTGATGATGCGAGCGAAATAGTGTTGGTGTCCACTGCACTCTGGGAAGTTCTAGTTCAGGGCTTCCCAAAAAAAGGCGCGGAGGAGTCGTACTCCAGGTTTTCGCCGTAGGATTTCGTGGTTGGGCGAGTGTACCACGTATGTGAACACGAACCATCGAGCTCTTCTGAGTGGAGGAGTCCATCATCTGCGAAGCCCACATCCCAAAATGTATTCGGCTTGGCCTGCTGGGCTGGGATACTTAAAAAGGATCATGGGACTTAGTAAGTAGGGATATAACTAAGGTAACTATACTTATAACCCCAATTGGGGGACTTATAACCTTACTTACTAAGTCCCATGATCCTCCAAGTAGAGGATGACTTGTAAAGGACATGGTCGCACAGTCGCGGTTTTGTTGGTCTAGAAGCCAGAAGCAATGATACCTCCAAGTGTTTTTGGAAAGCCTCGATTGAGCCCAGTGTTTTGCACGGGTTTATACAGCTCATGGTTAAAACAGGTAGCCAGTGTCCGATCCCTGACATCAGAAGCCTTCCAACAACAACTTCTCGGTCGCTTCCCACACCAAGCTACCTGTATGGGCAGCATCTGCCGCGAGCGTGACAACTCCTGCTCGAATCCATGAAACCTGAAGACTGTCTAGTCTCTACATCAAACCCCGAACCCCGTGAAGCCTAACTCCCAAATCCTTGAACTCTGAACCCCACACCCTCAACTCGCCACCCTAAGCCCTGAGACCTAAACCCTAACCCCAAAACCCCAAAACCCCAAACCCTAAACCCAAAACCCCTAAACCCTGAGACACTACATCCTGACAGGTAGACGTCGCTGGTTTCAAGGCCGTTCGGTAAGGGACTTGCTCGCAAGATCCGGGCTAACTGCGCTCTCGGCTTCAACATAATTTAAAATATATAAGATAATATAAAATAATATCATATAATATAATATAATATATATATATATATAGATAGGTAGATATTTTCCATACGGGTTCAGACATGAACCGTAAGGTTGGTATTGATTAGCAAGTGAGCATGAGCTCTCTTACTTCGGTTTATGGGCATTAAGCTTGGCTTATAAGCCTAAAATGGAGTCTCCAGGAGGAGGCATGTGCACGGAATGGTGGGGGTCCGGCTTTCAAGGCTTTTTTTGGGGCTTGGGTGTTGAGTAGGCTGCGGATGGATGCTTTAGGGTGCAGGGTGAGCAGAGACTGAGCTTCGCGGAATGCCGAGAAAGCCTTGGGGATTCGGAACTTGTCCATGTGATGCTTCGCTTTTGACGGAGGAGAGGGCCACTGGCGATAAAGGCTCCCATCCAGAGAAAGAAGGCTTACAACTGCAACCCGAACCTTGATCATAACCCTACATGTGTGGGGTTGATATCGTTGGGGTTTAAAACAGTGGGGTTATTGAGGAGTGTGAAACGCCGTGCTTGCAGGCAGTTGCACGAAGCGACAGCTGGTCATTCGTTCCTGCTGCCCGTGAACCGACAAAGCCAGCAAAATCCACACCCTCATCCAAACCCATGTTAATAAGGTTGGAAATCGGCACTGAGGAATTGCCAACAGGCTTCTTTGGTTCCCCTTTACAGGCCTAATCGTCTTCATATGACAAGCTTTCCATTGACTTGTTACCATAACTGCTTGATAAAGAAGTTGAAGGACTGAGAAAGCTTGCAAAGCAAGTGGTTTTGTCCCCTATCTATACATACATATGTATCTCGATATATATATATATATGCCCATATAGATGTATACATATATATATATATATATGTATGTATGTATGCATGTGTGTATATATCTATACATATATATATATATATGTATATATACATATATATATATATAAACATGTAAGGCACTAAGATCAGAAGTGCTCTGTTTCACAACCTGGATCGCCAGGCAGCATTGGCAAAGTCGCTGACGGCACCGCGAGCTCGTGCCGAACAGGCGAAGTGCTGAGGGCTTCAGCCGCTCAGGGTTAATAGGGCGTTTGGGTTGATGATCTAGGGCCCTACCCATGGGCCCCATAGTAGTTCATGTTTGTGGCTTATATTTAGGATCCTATTAGGTAATCCCAAAAAGGAACTACTATGGGGCCCATGGGTAGGGCCTAGGGTGGCTCTGCGATCAGAATGTGTGTTGTGAGAAATGCTTCTGCGCGCTGAGGCATGGCTACACAATGTTCTGCATTCTTGGGGGCAGAAATGAGATCAACATGCGCGCTGCTGGTTTCAGAAACCTCCGAATGCCACTGAACACCAAGCACTGAACCCACCGCAAAGGCACCCTTATAACACGTGGAGCCACCATCTTACTTGTGTTCGGCCGAGACCCCAAACCCCTAAACCCTAAACCCCTAAACCCTAAACCCTAACCCCTAAACCCTAAACCCGCTCTTCTCCTATGCAAGCCGCAAGTCGCAGGGCCTGCCGGACGCCGAGTGGTGGCGGGATCCTGCCGCGCTTTTGCCGGCGCCCATGCTGGAAACTGCGACGTCAGAGACCCGGTCATGCTTGATCGCGGTCTGAGGTTCAGGGGTTACGGAGCTTCGGGTGTGCAGCTTCAGGAGTGACGGGCTTTGCGAGTTTAAGGGTTCAGGCTTGACGTTGTGTCGAAGCATGGAATGAAGAAGCTTTGAGCGTAGGTCGACAGTCTAGATCGGCACATTTTTCATGCAGAAATGGACGATGGCCAAAAAAAGGCCCCCGCCCCGATCCGAAAATTACAGTGTTTGAAATCTGGTGTTCATTAGTTTCTTTGATAAGTGTATATAGGGCTTCATGTGAAACTCGGTGAGGTAAATTTGTTGGCTGTCTTCTGCCCTGTGGGATACGAGTATCAAAAACCCTGTATCATCTACATTTTGGCGAATACTCGTACTCATCATCTCCATATCAGATACAACATACATCCCAGAACGCACCCTAAGCTTTGCCCGAAGATGTCTGACCCTAAACCCTAAACCCAAAAC